GCGCGGTGCCGAGCCAGGGGGGCGGGGCCGCCCCGGGGAGCACGGCTCTTAGCACTGGCGAAGGAGTCCCCCGGGCGGCGGCGATCGAGCTGCCAAGGACACCTGCAGGCTTCCAGGGCCGAGCCAAGCGGGAGCCTCAGCGCAGCGCTCCGTCGCCGGTCTCTTGCGATCTGGCAGCTCTGGGAGCCACGCCATCCACGCGTCTACCAATCTCCGGGCGGGGATGCGGTCTAGGGCAGAGGGTGTCTGGGCACCGGTGGGAAAGGGCTCAGGGGGCTCTCGATCTACCTCCCGCAAAGGCTGCGGACGCCACGCTCCAGTGGCGCCTTTTCCTCCCTGCCCTGTCTCTCCCGGGCGCGCCCTCCTCAGGGCGGGGTGGATGAGGCGCGGTTCGGGGCCGACCCGGTGTGCTGCAGGGCCCAGGCGACGGAACTCAGCCTGTCTTCGCCGATCCGGGCCAAGCTGAGGCACGTAACCCCCTCGTCGCCAGCGCCCAGCCTAGCGCGCCGCCCCTGCGCGCCTCCGCCACCATCCCCTCCGCCCCCCTCGCCCGGGTTCCCGGCCTCCCCGGAGTCCTCAGCTCCTCCCACTGTGGCCTGGTGACACAGAAGGGCTCTCGACCCTTGACCTCTAACCTCAGCCTCGCCTCCGCCCGCTTTCCGCCTGTCGCCCCCTCCCCGCCAAGTTGGTCGCATCGTTGCCTTTTCACTGCGGCTGAGTGGAGGCTGGGAGAGGAAGAGAGTGGGGAAATGGTGTAACCAAGGGGAAGCGGCTCTCCTCTTGTCCTGATACGTTATTGGGAGCCTCCTAACCACCCCCATCCCCATCTTAAGGTCCAAACAGGGCCCAAGATATCCCTGGTCTTGATGCTACTGCCTTTGTCAAAGGCACTGATTCCCTGCTTGTTGGAATGGGGGACAGGGCTGCCTTAGGCAGAGAAGAGGCTCCTTGCTTGGGTGAAAGGAAACTAGAGCCCCTGGTGTGGTGGTGGTGAGTGGCACAGAAGGATCATTCTGTTAAATGCTACTCTGGAGAAGGGGAGGAGGGGCCAATAGAAAGTGTCCCTTGTGACCCCTCCTGGTTTTACTGTTGTAGCCCCCATAGTTGTAATTTGACTTTGCCTGAGCCATGCCTTATCTCCTCTTACTGACCCAGAGCTTCTCCATCCCACACTGTGCTTTTTCATCTTGGTAGCTCCCACAGTGCATGCCTGAGAAAACCTATTTGCTAAGTGATTGAGAAGCTGCCACAACCCCAAACATTAGGCACTAACCTGACTTTACTGGCCCTAACCCAAGAGCCATTTCCAGATTCATTTGTTTCTGTTTTTAAATCCAGAACCACTTTTACATCTTTAATACCCAGTTTTTAAAGTTTAAGGAAGCCTCCATGACTGGTTGGGTGACGAAAGGTAGATTTTTTAAGGCAGAAATATAGGTGGTTGAGGCATCTGCCCTGGACATTTGTGTACCATTCACTTCCCAAATCTGGCAGTGCCAAGGTAAACTGGGAAAAAACAAGACGGGATCCTGGGTATGCTGTGAGGAAAGGGTAAAAGCCTGGTGCAAACTTAATGGATTCTTATTAGTGAAAGTTGCTAGTGAAGTTAGAAAACCAATGATAGTGAGCTTTGATGATCTGTGCTAGTATGCAAGGGAGGCAGGGACTGTAGCCAGAAGCACATGTTTGTGGGCACCCCTTTTGTGTCCAGTTCACTCACCCCCAGATCTGATGGCTGCGTTTCATAGTTTAACTGGCTTTGAGTTTGCTGCAGCAAAAAAGAAATATCCTAAATGTGGCTGGACAGAGAAGACCCAGGACTGGCCAAAAGCTGGAATGAGGATGGAAGGAGCACAGAGAAGATATTCAACAATCGATCTTTAAAGCCTTATTTTAACTGTGTCCTGGCAAACTCCAGTGAGATCCCTCCTCTTCTTTGCATTCTTCCAGCTGGTCGAATTCAGTCATTCCCCAAAGTGGGAGAAGTGGGTAGGATGCGAGAGACGAGAAGACCATCGTAGCAGCCCACACCTGATTTATTTATTCATTCAATAACAATTTCTTGAGTGACTACTATGTGTAGAAACTATTCCAGGTGCACTTTCCTACCCCCTCCAGTAGGTCTTATGAGGCTTCTGTTCTGCAGTATTTGTGGTTGAAGGTGATAGAAACCTAGAGAGATAAGAGGAAGAATGATGCCAAGGGTCAGAAAACTGGGGTGGCCCTGGAGGTGCCAAGAAAGAGAAGGAAAATAGTCCAATCTGGGAGAGGCAGCCATTGAAGATGAGCTGGGTGGGAAGGCTCCTGGTTCAGGAGAGGGAAACTCAGTCTCAGGTCAGACGCCTCCAGAAAAGGCCTTACCAATTTGTGATTCCAACTGTGGATGTGTGGGTACTGCCCTCTGGTGGTATTAGACTCTAACTCCAGTCCTCCTCAGCTTGAAAAACAAAACAAAACAATCAACCTACTGCTATCAAGTATAGGACATAGTAGACCTGATCTACAGGGTTTCGAAGACTATAATCTTTACAGAACCATATTAACACATGCTTCTCCCTCGGAGTGGCTGGTGGATTTAAGCCACCAATGTTTTGGTTAACAACTGATAGGTTAACCACTGTTCTATCAGGGCTGTGATCAAAACAGATCCCAAACCAATTGTTATCACTGGATTCCAACACACGATGATCCCATGTATGCACAGTAGAACTACTCTGTAGGATTTTCAAGGCTATAACCGTTAGGAAACAGCAGGTGCCGACCCATAGTGACCCTGTATAGGGTTCCCAAGGAGCGGCTGATGAGCTTGAACCACTGACCTTGTGGTTCAAACCAACCTTGCAATACAGCACATTAACCCAAAACACCATACCAGGACTTCTTCAGCAAGTAGTTGAGTATTTGAATCATTTGCACCACCTCCGGACATCGGGGCTGTGATTGTTGTTGTTAGGTGCAATCAAGTCAGTACCAACTCATAGCGACCTTATGCACAACCGAACGAAACACTGCCCAGTCCTGGGCCAACCTCACAACCACACTTGACCCCATTGATGCTGCCATTTTGCTAATCTATCTCACTGGGAGTCTTACTCTTTCTCTGACCCTCCACCTTACCAAACAGGATATCCTTCTCCAGCGACTGGTCCCTCCTGACAATATATCCAAAGTATGAGAGACGAAGTTTGGCCATCATGGCCTCCAGGAAGCACTCTGGCTGCACTTTTACCAGCACAGATCTGTTTGTTCTTTTGGCAGCCCATGGCACTTTCAATATTCTTCTACGGTCTTCCTTATTCACTGTCCAGCTTTCTCATGCATATGTTATTGAAAATACCATGGCTTGGGTCAGGCCCACTTTAGTCCTCAATCTGACATATTTGCTCTTCAACACTTTAAAAAGATCTTGTGTAGCAGATTTACCTAATGCATTACGTCATTTGATTTCTTAGCTGCTGCTTCTGTGAGTGTTGATAGTTGATCCAAGAAGAATGAAGTCCTTGAACGTCAATCTTTTCTTCATTGATACGAATGTTGTTTATTGGTCCAATGATGAGGATTTTTGTTTTCTTCACATTGAGATGCAATCCATACCGAAGGCTGTGCTCTTTGATTTTCATAAGTAAGTATTTTAAGTCCTCTTCACTTTCAGCAAACAAGGTTGTATCATCTGCATATCATAGGTTGTTAATTAGTCTTCCTCCAATCCTGATGCCACATTTTTCTTCATATAACCCAGCTTCTCGGATTATTTGTTCAGCATACAGGTTGAATAAGTATGGTGAAAGAATACAACCCTGTTGCACATCTTTCTTAATTTTAAACCATTCAGTGTTCCCATGTTCCGTTTGAACAATTGCCTCTTGGTCCATGTCCAATGGATCTTGGCTGAAAGCAGAGAATATCAGAAAGATGTTTATCTATGCTTTATTGACTATGCAAAGGCTTTCGACTGTGTGGATCATGACAAGCTATGGACGACATAGCAAAGTATAAGTATTCCAGAACATTTAATTGTACTTCTGAGGAATCTGTACATGGACCAAGAAGCAGTTGTTGGAACAAAACATATGGGGCTGTGACAGTGGAAAGAAAAAGGGACACGTAAGCCTGATGTGGTTCCTTAGTGGTCTAAACAGTTTATACTCTTGGCTGCTATCTGGAAAGTTGAAGGTTTGAAGCCTACCCAGAGGCACCTCAGAAGAAAAGCCTGGTGATCTTCTGAAAACTCAACCACTGAAAGCCCTATATAATACAGTTTTACTCTGACATACATGGAGTTGACTTGACAGCAAGTATTTTGTTATAAGTGCTGGTTTGGGCCTGGCACTGATTCTGGACTTCCTATTAATTCTAGGACCCCAGGCATCTCCCGCAGATTAATGATTTCATCTTGGGACTCTCTTTGTTCTTCATGCCACTAAAGCATGGGTGGGGAACCTTTTTTCTGTCAAGGGTCACTGGATATTTATGACACATTTCACAGGTCATACAAACTTATCAACTTAAAAATTACCCTGCTATATTTGGTCAAACATTTAATTAACTCACCCTTAATGTGATGGCTGAAACTGTTCATGAGGTTTTACCAACTGCGGGATGAAGTCAAGCAGTTCATGGAAATGGTTGATTTTTCAGAAGTATATTGCCAACCACTGTGCTTTACAGTGATAAGAAAGATTACCGCACTCTGAGTCAAGAGCATTCAGTAAGTCCTTAAACTGGTGACTGTTAAACCCTCTGCTTTTGACAAAATTTATGCATGACACTACTGCTGACATCACATTGTTCAGCTGCAACAACTGTGCATGGAAACTTTCTTGGTGTATGATGCAGTGATATATAATTAATCACTTGCATCAAGACAGACAATTCTGTTCTT